GCAACGGCCGCCAGGGTCGTGGAGCAGCAGAACGTGGAGCAGCCACGGGAGGTAGCAACGAAGGAGGAAGCCAACGACATTCAGTCACCTAAAAGACCCAGGGCCAGAGCAACCCCCACCATTACTCATGACAAAGCAGCTCTTTTTCCTTTGGCCGCTGCATCCCACCATGTATCCGACACCTCTGGCTCTTGCAGGGAGGAGGGGAGGGAGCTGCCTGCCCAGAAGGGCAGAGAGAGAAAGGAAAAACACGGGACCAAAGACTCCTTAAAAAGACCAGATTATTGGCCAGAGCACGATTCCACCCTTGCCGTTCACACATGAGCCCACAGGAAGGTAACGCTGGCACCGCACCTGCACACGGCCCTTGGCTTAGGGGTCCTGGGAAGCCACCACAGGTCAGAGCCAGGAACTGGGAGCTCTGCGGTTCCAGGCAGGAGCACGTGGGGACGTGACTCCACACGGAGAGCCCCAGGGCGCTGCCCGAGCTGCTCCTTCCTCTTCTCCAGCTGCGAAACTCCCTGCATTTAACCTCCAGGAAGGGTCCCTGCAGTCCCATCTCACCTCGCTTCATGCTGCTTTGGATTGCACCCGTAAATTCACAAGCGCAAATTGCAACCGTAAAAACAGCCCTGAAACAGTAAAATGTATCCTCACAGGACAGCAGCTCTTCAGCCAAACCAGTCCTGGCTACGTCCACGCAACTTCCATGTTTAGGATAAAGCCTTAGTCCTCGGTGTGCCCTAAGAAGTCCCACGTTGCCTTGCCGCTTCTCCCAAGTGTTAGTGCAGGGGGTGCCGCAGCCTCGCAGTTCAGCCCCCCGACTTCAATAAACCAACGTGACCAGAGCCGCGCTCCGAGGCACAGATGGTGCCAGAAAGGCACTCCAAAGCCACCTCAGGAACGAGGGGCACTCTCAGTCAGCCTCAGGGAAAGGCCACAGAAGGTACCTGACACCGAAGCGGTGCCCCTTTGTTTCAGTGCAGAGCCCACCCTAACAGACACGAGGAGAAAAAGTCAAAAACACATGTACACCACACACCATCAAAAGACACTTAATTGAGAATTTCAGAGATTTAAAAAATAATAATTTATTAAAAGATGATTCTGAAGCGTGTGGCCTGCTGAGCGTCCAGCATGCAGCCCTCCCCTCCTCCTTGCAGGAGCCTTTCGGGTATTGGTTTTGCCTATTTATTGACACTCAGATGCACTTAAAGAAAAGCAGAATCAGCAGCTCATTATGGAACACAATTCCAGCCACGTGGCACGGCCAGAGAGCTCGTCCAAGCCCGTGCTCTGCTTTGGGGCTGGCAGCGCGTGGCCCCGCTCGTGGCAGCTCTGGGTCCCGCTCCCGGGGTCAGGACGGTGCCAGCACCGCTCCCCCTGGGCGGCGGGAAGGATCCTGCTCACAGGGAGAGGCACTGGGCCCCGTCGTGCTCATTCGCTCTGCTCCACACCCGTGGACCTTTGAACATTTGCAGAGCAACGTATCTTAGACTGACGCTGTGTTTGAGGGCACATTTTAGCCTTACTTAGTGTGTGAAGGCAGCTGCACTCTCCGCTCTTCTTCACATCCCAAGTCCTCACCAGAACCACAGCCCACGGACCTTGCCTGCAGCCAACGCCACCCCCTTCCCGGCCCTCCCCTGCGAACCCCCTTTCTCCCTTCGGCCACGCGCTTGGCAGAGCTGGGCCGCCGGCGCCAGGCAGAACGAGTCACCTAAATGTCGTCGTAGGGAACCGTGAGGCTGATGTTGTAGTTATAGCCGGTCACTTCGTCGTAGGAGGAGCGGCAGATGGGGAGGACGCTCTCGCCGGCCAGCTGCTCCGCTGAGAACTCGTAGGCATAGATGACTCCTCGATGCCTGCGCGAACACAATGGGGACGCCACAAAACTTTACCTTAATTCTACATTTCAATGGGAGAAGCTAACGACGTTCATAAAATGAACTGTGGATGATTCATTTTAGCAATGCAGAGACGCAACTGGCATCTGCCGAAACATTTCTAATCTATTCAGAAATGGGGAGGGATCATGTGGCTTGACAGTTCAATTAGAAATGCTAGCGGTCATCTGAGATGCAAACAGCAAAATGTGCAGTTTAAATAGCAGTAATTTTCCTTTAGGAGGAGATATCATTGCTAATATTTAAAGCAAGGAAAAAAGCACATTCCTCGCCTTGTTTCAGTGGCATTTATATTCACCTGCCAAAAAAAGTAAGGCGTTCCCCTGTGCTCACGAGAGAGCCAATCCACCAGTGGTCTGGAAAGGCCCATCTTTGTGCTGTTTTTACTGCTGTACCTCCCCGTTACAAGGCTGGATCATGACTCGAGGCTTTCGCCCTCTTTAACCGCACGGGACGCCGCTCTGCACGGGGGAGCCGCGGCCTGCAGCGCTGCCACTCACTTGCGGTGTGCGGTCAGGTCGTCGTCCGTGAGGCTGGCCCCACGTGGGGTCTTCTCATCGGGGACGTTGGCCGTGATGAGGCTGTGAGAGTTGAACCACACGTGGCGGACGGGATGCCTGGAAAACAAACCGCAGCGCTGGCAGAGACGCCCCTTGCACCAGGCTCTGAGCGCAGTGAAGGAATCACGCTGGATTGGACAAGAATTCATTTAATTTGCACTCCGCGGCTAGAGGCTGAGATATTTTGCCCTTGGCTCCTTCTCCTCATGTCTGAAATGGATAAATACAGTTTTTATCACCATCTAGTGGACTCTCATCAGAAGACACGCGGAGGATGGAGAGGCCCTCAGCAGCCCTGCGCGGCTCCAGAGAAAGCCGGATGCCCCGGACACAGCCGCACCCGGCTCCGCTCACCTCCCTTTCCCAGCACCGAGCTGATTTGCTACTCCCTGCAATGGCATCAGCTGAGAGATCCCTTCTTCTCTGGGCGCCCCCCGCGCTGGTGAGCGGCCACCCAGGCCGGAGGAGCAGGAGTGGCTGCGCGGGGACCTTGTTGGCTGTTGCCGGCACGCGCGGCACTGGGTTCCAGCACAGGGAACGCAGAGCTCAAAACCAGCCACCTTTAAGACAACTGTGAGAAGCTCCGCATCTTAGATCTGAGATTCAATGATGTAATCGTGGGGAATGGGGAGGAAGACTTAAAATCTTGCCAAAAATCCAGAGGGAAAAATGGCATGCTCCTTTAGCCTGGTTAAAGCACTCTACTGAGGGGATATCTGAGTAAGAAAGCTACAGGACACAGAAAGAAACACATGAGGAATCCAGGAGGGCAGCAACCCATCCCGTGTCAAACGCAAACTCATGCCAGTGCAGCTCTGCTCCCAACAGCTTTAGGCGCAGGAAGCTCTTATTCTGGT